GACGTTCAGCAGTCTGGTTTGAGTCAATCACAGTAAAAATGAAAATGTCTTATATTAAGTGACCCCAAGTTGTCATGGTAACACTCTTACTGTGTCTCTTCCAAAGATGAAATAGTGGATTGTGTCCAAACAGATGTGATAGCAGCAGCTATGCGTACGTCTTCCTGTGCCGCCATGTTTATTTTGGTTCAGCTGGATGTATAAAGGATCCTGCTGTAAAATGAATAGTTATTTTAATTTGTATTTACTAACACACACAGAATCTAAATATTTAAAAACAAAAAAGTTTCTTTGTTATTCTACAAATACAGAAAATATTATTGCAAAGACCATTTATAAATACATTGATAATAAAATGAATGGAAAGATTGAAAGACATTGAAATTTTATGTTTTCTGCCCTCTTCATCTCTTTCATCCAGTGGTCAAGTGGCACAGCAGCTGTCTGTGGGCAGTAAATGTGGCCATAATACTGGCTGTGGCCACGATCTTTGCTGCCTGGTTGGTGGCACAGACTACACTTGTTTTTATCCACGGTGTGGATGTAGGGCCAGGATGTTACTGTAGTCCCTAACAATTAGAGTCCATCTGGCCTGATTTCCATTGTTTTTGGGGCTCCTTTGTATATCACAGTTTAACAAAGATGAACTTTAGCAGACAGCAACTGCCTGGTAACTGGGCAGGGAGATGCTTGTTTAAATTATGTGATTCAACAATAATGTAAAGTAGTGTAAGGAAAAAAAAAATCAAATAAAAAATTTCTCACAACTCTAGAAGCAGCTCATGAAGCACAGGTGGCTTCAGAAAAAAGGAGGAAGACACATGAAGGAGAGTCTGAATATCGAGCCTGGGACTGCAGGCAGGCGGCACAGACAGGGTAGAAACAGTCAGTATATCCAGCCTGGGATGGGCAGGTGATGGTGTCCTAGATGCTTTGCTGACATGTGTCTATATGTCCCAGGTTTAGCTTAGAACACGCACTATGGGATCCACCATACCATGGCTTTATGAACTGGCAGAAATTAAAAAAAAACATTATGTGAAGTATTTTAACATGTTATAGCATATGATAACAGAAATATCTAAAAAGACACTTACCGACTTACTTAAGTCAGAGCAAGCTTTCCAGGTGTCTTCACAGATGGTGACTGCTCTGCTGTTACAAACTGTAACGTGGATGTTGTGGATGAACCAGAAACCAGAGGAGGCCAAACTAGAAGGCTAGTTTTACAAAAAGGGAAATTAAATAACAAAAAGTACACAATATATCATTAACAAGAATGAAACATGAAAGGTTTAGTCTTTGACCTTCAGATCAGATGAATCATTTATTGTCAGTTTTATGCAAACAAACAGCAGATAATCTGCATGAAAAGGAAAGACTGGAGTTTGATTAAATCTTTGCTTTGCTTTCAGAAAGACAGAAAATGTTTCTGAAACAACTTCTAGTTGAGTTTATTGCTATTTTTAAACAAAACGTTTAAAATTTACAACAAAAAAAAGAGAATTAAACATTTAGACCCCAAACTTTACTATAGCAATTTTAGAATTATTATTATGTTTATAATATAAACTGCTGAGAATCCCTGAGGACTCGCTGTGCAGGTTGGTGCTGAGAGACGCCTCCAGAACCAGAACCAATCACAAAATAACACTTGATTTAATTTTCAGCTTTTTTGTTCTAAAACATTTCCTCCAATAGCTGCAGTGAAACATTTGATCACTGGGTGTTAAACAGTTGATAAAATGAAGAATTTAAAAACCTCTTGTCTTTTAACTCAGATCGACCAAAGGAAGCAGACAGCATGGCAGCAGCAGAGCCTGGTGAGTTACACCTCTGAGCAACACAGATGACTGTATCTGTTGTCATGGAGAAATGAAAGTACAACTAAATGGAAAATATGAACACAAAGGGCCGGATTTATCAAGATCCAAATGATAAATCCGGATAAATCAGTAATTTGCGCTAGCAAACTGGAATTTTGCGCGAGGGGCTGAACCATGGTTTGCGGGTGATTTAACAAGAGTGATTGCGTAACTGGTGGCAGGTGCAAAACTGTTGGAGACG